CCGCCCGCCCCCCCCCCCCCCCCGCCAATGGCGACGCGCGGCGGCGCGGCCCAGCCAATGGGAGGCGGGGACATCGTGCCCTCCCCTCACCACTCCCCCGCCGCGCATGCGACAGCGGGAGGCTCCGCCCCGGGTCCGCCGGGCGATGGGGAAGCGGATCTCTGCACCAGATCCCGTTTTCCTCAAAAATTCCTTTTCTCGGAATAATAAAACATAGGAATTTCCCTTTTTTGCCCTCTTTTCTTTTTGCCAAAAGCCCTGCCCGCGCAGGGCACTTCAGAGGGGCTCTTCGGAGCAACATCGACCCTGGCAGCAGGCAGCACCCCTGGCAAAGAGGCTGCTCCAAGGGCAGGGGGGATTTTGCAAGCCCTTCCTCTTCCTCCTCCTCCTCCTCCTCCCCCCTAAAGCTGCGTGTACGAGAGGGTCACCTCTTGTGACCTCCGGGCAGGTCCTTGCCTTACCTGTCCCTTCCCGAAGGTGAAGCTAGGTGCTTGGGCAAGGCCACGGACACAGGCTTTGCCAAGCAAATAATGACTTATAAGCTCTTACAGGTACTCTCTCGGGAAAGCACATTTACAGTTTGTTTCTTCCTTTTCCCCATAAAAGCAAGAAGAATCACAACAAGCCCACAGCATCAGTCAAACCAGTCTTTCCTTTATTAGGTCCAACTTCACATCACATATATTGTGACTCAATAAAGGAAGAAGTTATTTCAAATAAGGTAATATTTTAACATTTGTGTCTCCAGGCGACTGTGTACAATCAGGTAGCATCAGTAAAATGCTTGAGTAACGCACCTGGAACAGAAAAGAACAGAAAAGCCATTAAAGAAGCAGCCCAGTATCTCCACAAAGTCTCCATGGGGTCTCAAATGAGTTATTTCCATTGCTCGCTTTTACACTCGAAGCCCAGTTTAATCATACTCGGCCCCCAAATGCAGTTACTGCATTCCCAGCACAGCTGTCTCAGTACCCCCTTGCACCAAGACATGGTATCCCAGGGCAGGGAGGAGGGCAGGGAGTTAAAGATCCAGAATTAAGTGCTATTTGCAGTCTCACACCCAATACCTCTATTCTAAGCATAATATTAAAAAAAGAATATGACACTGGCCATCTCCTAAAGAACCTGAGTTAAGAGACTGCCTTTACATAACTTCACTTCCATGAGGTTTTTTTATTTAGGGCTCAATTTTAGTCTGGGATTAGAGCACGTTAGGTCTTGCCTATACTTAATGAGAGATCCTCATTAACCAGAAAAGCTGCCGTTTAGTAACACCACCTTCATACATTGCAGCTCGTCTAAGAGGCTGGTATTTATGATGGAGATCTAAATGTCTTACTTATAGTTGTTTTCAAGTTTAGGAAGTACTCAGAAGTTCAGCTCTAGAAAGCCAGTAAACAAGTGGGTTTCCAAGACTTGAGGCCACTGCAATCAATATGAAATACTACATGCACTGCTCCCGAAATTATCTATTGAGGCTAAAGGATATTCTGCACACAGATCAGTTAAACTCCAGCTTGCTACAGCTGATCTGTTTATTCTGTAAGCAAGGGGCCCTCCAAAGTAGTGTTTAATTACAGAGAAAGATGTTATTTTAAGTATCACATGAAGAAACTTCAGTGTTGTTGGGTGGCTACCATCAGTGGGGCTCATTTTCTAGCATAAGCTAGTAAATAGTGTCTCCCAGTTTTCTAAATTGGCTAGACTGTGACAATAAAATGAAAGTTTGTGCATATCCAGTGGAAATGATCCTGCCATTTGCTAAAAATGCTTCTGTGGGACAAGCTGAACAGGAGCAAAGGTCAACATGCTGCCAACAAAGTGCTGCAATACCTGTTGTCATGACAACCACTATCTAGAAATTTTGGGGAGGTTGGGTATGGTTGCCAACCACCCTATCCCTTCTTCTCAAGCAACTGCACTGTTCTCTTTCCAAGCCTTCTTTGAAAAGGGTTAGTACCTTTTCAAGGAGACCTGTAGTTATAGAGGTATTTGGAGAATCACATTACAAGCTTGAACTTTTTCACAGACCCATGAAGGAAAGGAAGAGGACTCTGTCTTTGCCAGGAGAGTTTCAGGGTACAGGAGTCCCATGCCAAGAGTCTCAGAAGCAACGGCAGCCCTTACCGATGAGGTTTATGCTTTGTCCAGGCCCAGTTCCTCTGGAGTGGAGATTCCCAGTTCACTTAAAGTTGGTCTAAGTTCCTGGATAACGTAAGGATAGATTTCCTTGTGAGGTCCTGCCTTGTCCTAAAGAAAAAGGAATGGTGTTATTTTGACAGCAAGCTGTTGTCAAGGTCCACTGTACACCGGTCAGGTTTGCAATCAAGACGTGTGTTCACAAAAGGGTCCGTGGCCTGACCCACCTACTGCTCATGAGGGTAGCTCCTGCAGGACACGAGAGCACAGCCCAGCTTTACCTGTGCATCAAGTAAACAAGGCTTGTATACAGCTATACTGGGAAGTCCTCCTACCGATCGACTGTGGCTGCAAAGCACCCCAGAATAATGCTGAACTCCCCTTTGGGGGATTTGCAGATTATTCTTAACACTTGACACTCTTCCCTTAACACTAGGCTGATGTGACCTGTGACATGTGTGTACCACCACACAAAACTACAGGCCAAGCCAAGCTCCTTCCGTGAGGGATGCTTTGCAAACCAGCCCAAACACTGCTTATACTTTAGGAAATGGAATGAAAATTATATCCAATCAGTAAAACAGGAAAAATAAAATCAGCTTTTGGGCAGACTTGGGAGAAAATTTAACTTGCTTGGAAATCAGGGGAAAAACATCACCCCTTGAGTAATATTTAGGTGGAGCTCCAGGAGGAGCATATACTTGTCCCCAGGTTGTGATAAGCTGAGTTGTCCCTTTATGGTGGGGACAAGAGGACAGGAAGGAAAAAAAAACAAAACAACATACAAAGATTCTTCCATTGGTCTGATGTCTCTAAAACCACCTACAGAAGCATGCAGAAAGCAGAAATGGCAAACTAAGAAGCAACTGATTGTGGAGTAAAGTTTGAAGCAAGTGTATTTGACAGCTAGCAGCAAAGACCTCCACACCAGTCCTCACTTGTGGCAGAAGGCAGTTGGAAGAGCACCGCTGCTGGCTTCTACAACTGAAATAGAACTCCTGCCTCCATCCCCACCCACTTTAACTCCCTGTTAAGTGAAGACTGGGCTCGGGTTTCAAGGTGTTGGTTTATGTTGTTTTTCAAGCCTATGCAGCTTTCCGAGTTACTACTCCCAGCCAGCTCAGTATTCAGTCCTTTAAGAAGCCACTAAGCTGCCTTTGCTTGAGATTATTTCTAGCAATGCTTATTAAAAAAAAAAAAAAAAAGGAAGAAAAATCCTTAAAGACTTTCCCACCAGAGTCAGCATCAGGAAAGGAAAATATGAATGTAAATGTTATACTTTAAGCTGTGCTGTTGAATACTCATACCTCAAAACAATTATTTCAAGCCACTGAGCATGTGCTCATGACAAAGCTATTGATTCTGGCAGCAGGAAATAGTGGTTTCCCTTTGCACCACCAACAGTAAGCCAAGGAAACCTCTTCTGCTGCTGGGCTCCCAGCTATGCAAACACAGCAGTTACACCCTGGGCTACCATTCCACTCACCTTTACAACTTCTAAGATGCGGA